TAAAGTCAGCACTGCACTTGCAGATCATGACTTCAAAATTACCCAGTCGTCAAAGCCTAGAGGACAAAGCATTGTTCCTGACGGCAAAGCTTGGGATTCGGTACTCATAAATCATGCCAAGCACAACTAAATTTGTAAGAATACAATAAACTGGATAATTTACTACTATATATACAGAATCTAGAAAATCAGAGTAAAAAATAATTTAAAATTTACTTTAAATCAAGATACAATAATTTGTGCTTTATCCTATGCCATTTATGCAATGCCAAACTGATGTGTGAAAATGAAGGAGTATTTTGAGTTTCCCAGAGAATGCCAAATAAGTGGTCTGAGTTCAATCTAACAAAATTGCCTAGTAAGCCAAGTTTACCAAGATTTTTTGGCTACATAAGCACAACTGAAATCTATCAATAAATGAGGCAAAAATTAAGTTATTTTCTATATTGGGAAGTATGACATTATACTTTAAAAACAAAACAAAAAAAGGATTACGTGAATCAAAAACCAGACTTCCGACCAACTTTTGTACAAAGCTATAATTTAATCAAAAGATATTTGGAGACATAGAGTAATAAAAGGAAAGTTTAAAAATGTTCACCTTCAATTTATTTCATAGGTCACTGTTATACCATCTAATAAGATAATTAAAAACATGCAAGCAGCTGGTACTACAGCTAAACAGATTAATGTAATAGTCTGTAGTCATATGTGCTGGCAAGGGGCTCGCCTCTTTTGGCGAGGAGAAGGTCAGTTGCCCTTGGGAAGAGGAGGCGGGGATGCAGCAACAATATTCCTTCCACCATGTGGCCATGTGTGCCACACCGAGTTAGCTAAGCATCCACTGCAGCAGACACAGGAAACTACCTCTCATTTTACACACAGACACACACACACACACACACACACACACACACACATAACTAGCAGTGTTCTCCCAGGTTAAATGGTAAAATAAGAAATAAAGTTAACAGAACTTGAAAAAAAAATCCACACTGGTATGTAAAGCCTTTAAGATATACCAGATAAAAGTAATAATACATTCTCAATACCTAAAAATTTCCTGTTTTGACACATCATGCAAATTAGTTGGAAGATTAATAATCAAACTCTAACACTTCCGAGGCAGATATGGTCTACTAACATCCAGGCATCGTGTTAACACCATGCAGATATTTTAGGAGTTAAGCCCAATTTTATCTACCTACCTGAATCAATGAAGAGAAAGCACAGAGGAATACAAATCCAACGTAAAACCCTCTAGGCAATAAGAATAAGTCTGTGAGCAACAGGCGTAGGAAGCTGCGGCTAAGGTCCATTGATCTCACATTTCAAAAACTGTTACAGCTCCAGAGATCGCCTCTTACTTACACTCCTAGTGGTACAGCTTCCCTTCATCTTTACCAGATTCACAAACTGGCTAGACAAAGAAACCATGAATAACGTAGCAGAGATGTAGACTTTCAAGCCCCCAGGTGAGCTCATTCTTAGCTCCCTTTCTGCTAAAAGAAAGGAAGTTAGCTTCTTGTAAGACATACTGTTTGTCATTTCTTTTTTGGTATTCCTATCCAAAGGCACTATAAAATTTTTCCAGAATATACCAAAAGGTTAATGATGATAACATTGCTGATGATGGGAAATGGGAAATAACATAAAAGCATTCATTATTCAGCATTTACCAAGAACACATTATCCCAAAAACAGTCCTCATGTCAACTTTATCTCACCATCCCTACTTCAAAAGTGAGGAAACTGTGGCTGAGATTGTTCAAAGTCTTCAGGATTTTAATCAATGCACTTTGTTTAGATACCACTTTAAAACAAACTATGCAAAAACAGTATTAAAAAGAACATTTATAATATCTCCCCTCCATTACTCCTGTATTTTATAATAGAATATTCTATCAAGTGTAATCCTCACTCCAACTTTCGGCTCCTTCTTCAGTGACACACAGGTCATACAGCAGCATCGCTTTCTTCAAGAAGCTTTTTGATTCTCATTTCTTCAGCGACATATTCAGTAGCATTATTTAGATTCATGGTATTGTAAACTTTTTAACTTGTATCCTGTTATGATTTGTTCTATGGAATTTCACTTAAGGGGATGTATAGCAGCTATGTAACAGAAACGATCATAATCAGCTGTGAAGATGCAATAGTTTGCATCTCTACTTCCAAATCAAAGACGGACTCCCAATGATACTGTTAAATACGTCTTGACAACGGGATGCGGGACTCACTGCCGTTGTCCATACCCACAATGTCAGAACACACTTAAATAGCAGGATGACGGACAGGTGACTGCTGCTGACAGACTATACTACTGTAAAAATACGGGGAAGTCAGTGAGGGGAGGGGATTTGGCTAAGGGGGAGTAGAAATCCCAGAGACCATGGAACCGCATTATAAAATAATAATTTTAAAAGTATTCAAAAAATAATCATCAAAAACTATGCATCCTGCAACTAACAATCTAACACTACAACACAAATAATGAAGAAAAGTGCTTTCTATAACCCACTTGACACTATTCAAAAATTAACAAGGGGTCAGCACATATTACTAAAATATGATGGCTTTCTATTTAGAATTCCAAAAGTCTTTAATTTACATATTTTGTCTCAGTATTTAAAAAAGAATTGTGAAAAAGAAACAGATTAGTGAATAAAATGCCCCTTTCACAGATGGGGACTACAGCTCACCTTTACCTTCAACACAAGCTCTGGTGTGTTTGCACCAGGCTCAAGGCCTGAGCAGTGGAATTACGAAGAAAGGCTAGGATTTCTGCGGCAGTTTAAATAATACAAAGATTTGTTATATAAAAGGATTTCTGAATATTAGATAATTTATGTGTCCCTAAAAACACGTTATTAGTTAAAAGAGCTATAATGGCAATAGAAAAATAATTTTCACTCTGTCAAATAAATTTTACTGACAATCCTGTTGCCATTTTAATGTGATCCTGCCACATAGTCTAGGATTTGTCAGTTAACGTTTAATAAGAAAATACATACCAGGACTGTGTTTCTATGAATTCCACATTTAACCCAAGTGTCAAAATCACAATTAAGCTCATTATATTGTGAGAGCTACTGCCTACCGGGTAGAAAAATATTAATTTCATACCTTAAATACTATAATACTAGTTAATAGCAGTGTTGGCTTGCCAACTATTAAAAGCCTGATTTTACATGGTACACTGTATTACCTGAACATTTTACCTTGCCTTTTTTTACGATAATAATAAATTAATATTCTAACCTTACAACAGTGACAGGCATTGATTAAAAATATTTAGTTATAACAACATTACTATTTGTTGTGCAAAGTTACCTTAGAAATTCAGTTTCAAAATACCATCATAATTCAATGATACTAAGACACTTCAATCGTCAAACGATCCAAGGACAAAATAAACTATAAGACAACAACGCATCTTCACAGTAAAATACCTCTTCATATTAAGTCTGTTATTTACTATAATCAAACTATATATTAAATTATAAGAGAGCATTCAACACCAAAATTTATATACTTATTTGTTTTCCTTTTTCTGAAATTCATGCTCTACCTCCATTTTAGCTTGGTTGTTTTTATTGTATTTACATGCATTAATAGTATTACCATCATATATTTCACATTATATTATTATATTAACATTCCTCACTTACATGCCAAATCATGAATATTTATTTAACTATCTTTTACATTCACACTTTTGCTTGTTGTGATAAGCTGTGACAGGTTCAGATAGGGGATTCTATCTATTATTTAACATGTCAAATTCCAAGCTTTATATTACCCTTCAGGACTAAAAGAAAGATCTGGCGAATTACAACGTTGTGAGATAGAACGGCACAGGGAAAATAGCACGACAATATAGGAGTGTCACTGCTGTGAAAATGGTCTTCCCGAACTCCACGGGAACATTAGCCTGTTGTAGTGTCTGTGACACTTGAACGGCTGAATATTTATACTGATTCCAACCGGTATAAAATAAAGATGTCAAGTGTTTCAATTATCATCTCATTTCTGGAATTCATAAACAAATTGTAAAATTTTCTCATTTGCCACATTCTTAAGTGCTTCCTATATACAAGGCACTGCTCTACATGTTAAAAGCCAGCCTGGGATCTGTAGACAAATGACACAATCCCAATATGGGATACAGAACATGGATACAAATAAAAGCATAAACTACCTAAGTACAAATTTTCCATATTGACTACAGAAAAGATAGAGTTTAACATTCAAATGAGCTTCAAGGTATATATTGTTTCTCACATTATTTTACATTGCTTCTAGGCAAGCAACACAACTAACGTACCCTAAGGACAATGAGCTCAAAATATTTCTTCAAAATATACATCTTCATCTACCACACTAAAATGTATTAATATTGAATCTGTATTTATCTTTACCTAAAACAGTCAAGATCTTACATATCTTGTTTCAGTGTATGAATGCTCAAATATCGGAATATACTTTAAATGTTGTCTTTCCTTGTAATAAAGGCCAAAAACTTGTAAGCACTAAATGAACAAAAATTCACGCTATGAAGAGAACAGCAACAAAAAACAAAATGAATACTTCTTTATTCTGGAGTTCTCTAAAATAATTCTTTGTGCTATAACTGCCCTACTTTAGAAACCCCTTAAAAGGCAGCAGCAGCAGCGCTTGGTCCAATGAAGATGATATTCTGACCTTTCACAGGCATTCCAAAAGAAGTGCTGGTGCTCTAACAGGTACACAGGACAAACGAGAACCAGCCGTAATCACTGCACCCATCGGCGTGGACAGCAAGAAACAGCTGCAGTGACTGCACTGACTCAAGAACTTGGGAGGTTACACCTTCTGCAGCTCATTAATCACATGCCACAATAATTACATATTCTCATATTCTAAAAACACAAGTCATGGCTCCTTTGTATTCCCAATGTATCTCTAAGTATCTGATGTTATACAGTGGCTTGCAATACAGCTGTGTATTCACCACCTACCTATAGGAATTAAAAGTCCCTTCAGAGTCTAAAGTGGAACTCGTTCTTCTTCCATTTTGATTTGAATCTCCTGGAAAAAAAATTAAGAAACACTAAAATAATGGAGATTACAACATATTGCAATCAAAGCAACAATTGTGTAACAGTTCTATGCATTATTATTAACCGAATAGTATATATCACTTTTTGCATTCTGTAAATTCTATTTTGTACTCAACCGTCTTCTTACAAAAAATACCCATCTTGATGCCAACATATGAACTAACACCACTACTAAATTGGATAGTAATACTATAAAAGTAATTGCTAATGGAACAAATGAAGTATAAGAAGGACATTTTCTTCTTAAGATATTCATATATTTCAATTAAAAGTCTATAGAATAAAAATACATTCACTAAAAAAACTAACAATGCTTACCAATATCACTAGATAGATAGAAATATAATTCTCAAAGTGTGTATTTCATGGCTTATTTACAAACAACAGCTCACCATGACTGAATAGATCACACATTCTTTAGTCAGATTACAAAACTAAACAGGAAAAGCTAAAGTGAAAAAACCTTCTAGTCACATGTTAACATTTCTGTTGGTGACCAAGTTACTGTGTTGCCAAGTGGCATGGTCCAAAGACATGAGGCAGAGGCTGGCCAGGACGGCCCTCTAGTCCCGTTTCCCCACTGGCCGGGGTTGTAAGAAGCAGAGAAGTAAGAAGAAAGCAGACTTCAGTAGGCAGTGGTCAAGAACAAATTCTAATACACTTCTAATACATCTCACAGCATTAGCCAAAAAATTGTTTTAATTGTTCCATCTGCCAAAAGTTCACTGATTAAAAACACAAAAAAACCTAGAAGGTATTCATCTCCCATGCAATAAATACTATCAAACACCTGAAAAATTATTTTATGCAAAAAATAGGAGTGTTCATAAAAAATAAAATTTTGAACAAATTCACACATATCAGCCTATGAAGCACAGAATTAAATAGATTTATTGAAGGAACCGTAAAAATGCTGACTAATGCCTCAATGTATAGTATATATTCCTTGATAGAAATCTAATTTTTAAAATTATATTTCCACATTTAGTTATGAATAGATAACTCTTAGATGTATCATTTTTCAAAACAAAGACTAGAATCTGCAGACTTCAAATTTCTACAACATAATTTTCTAACATCAGGATATATTCATTCTTACAATAGTTAAAGCTTAATAATTTAATGATTTATCCAATTTTATCTTATGATTTTAATCCACTCGGAACAATATAACGTGCCACTGGAGAGTCTCACAGTGGTCCTGGTGAAGTCAAATAGTAATTACAGAGCTTTCAGTGTAAAGATGAGATTATTTTTAATTATTGAGTATAGTACTTAAGGTACCATACTTATATAATTATGCTACTCATTAAATGGTTACTGAAAGCTGAAATGTAATTTTAATGACAGCTACCTATTTTTCTATACACATTTTATGGTTGACAGATGAGTCAAGAACATTCGTTCCCTTCCAGATCTTTGCAGCTGTGCCAAAGCGCTCAGGCGGATGGAGACAGGGACTGTGCCCACGTACCGAGCCTGCTAACTGCACGCTTTTTGCAAGACACGCTTTCAGGGTTTTTCCTTGTTAAAGAATAAAAGACTCCTAGGATGGATTACAACACTAGCAAACGGTGACTAAAACAGTTCAAAACGTCAGATGGAATCTGCTCGTGTGTGTGTTGACAATTCTTTGAAAACATGGGCAAGGTATGAATACATACAGCATACTTCACTTTATTAACAAAAATCAGTAGTATTCTAAGAAACCAAAAAGATCTAAATAACATGTAGCCTCCACAGTAAGTTAAAATATGATATAATACATTCTTTTGCAGAGCCAAATATCCAATCAGTATGGAACAAGCAGTATAGGATGTACTGAAAATATGAGCCTTCTACATTAAAATTAAGGATTATAATTAGTTACATCTAATACATCTCACTAAAATTACTTCTTGTTCGAGCTTGTGTTTATCAAGTTAAATATAAAGCACTTTAAATAGCTGAAACAAAATTTTTTTTTAAAAAGAGACTTTATAATCATAAGAAATTGTAAAGGTTTTTTTTGCTGTTTATAACTGCTACAAAATGAAAATACCATATTAAATTTAACTTTCAAGGTACAAGGGATGGCAATAGGGGGAAAAAGTAGTTTTTTTTTTTCTTGAAAACATACCAAATAAGGAGTACAATCATTTCACTAGCCATATTAGAAAAAAGATTCCAGAGTTTGCTATATGGGAAAAAAGCAATAAAGTTTTGAAGCGGGAAAAACTGCTTTGTTTCCTCAATCCTCTAGTTGAAATTAATTATAGCAAATGTTTATGAAAACATCTGTTCCTCACAGTTATAAATTCTTAATTTTAGTATGGATGTTTCCAGACTCTTACTTTGGAAGGAAACTGTCAGAGCATTGAAAGGTTTACAAAAGAACAGACAGAACCTGTAATTCTGGGAAACTGTACGTACAATGTGCTACCTGCTGTAGATTTCATTTGTGTGAAACATTTGGAGGGGATTCATACTGGTAACCTGGAGAAATCGAAGATGAACAGAGAGGCCCATATTTCATCTAAGCTTGTAGATGATAAAATCATTTGTGCCGTACGAGAATACCAAATAAGAATTACAAGCAATGTTGGTTTACTTCTGGATCTAATTTCAAGGTAAGCATCATAAAATAAGTATTAATTTTATCAAAGAAATAAACGTAATGACAAAACAATCCTAGGGATAAGTGTTTTGCTCCAAAGTGACAACAGAGGGCGCAAGAGAGTTTAATATGATGCTTTTCACTGCTATTCCAATTCCTGAACTAAGTTGTCAGCAGTAGCTGTAATGAGAATGCACTGGCTGTTTTTCACTCATACCTTACCTAAGATCCTTTCAGTGATCACACAGCACAGAAAATCTAAAAATATTTTAAGATAATATATTTGTTTGAGTAATTAACAGTAATTTTTAAATGTAAAGGCATTCCAGTGTGTACTGTAAACTAGCCAGTTACAGGATGGGGTATTGTTCTTCAGGTCATACATTTTCAATACATGCATAAATTATATATATATGATTGCCACCAGATATTTAATAATATGTTTTATATCTAAAGGAACAGTTCATCAATTACGACTGGAAGAGTTTGAAATTTATGTAACATTAACTGGCAAACAACTTTACAAAATCCATGACATTCATAATTAAAATAAGTCTGCTAATTTCAAAAAGATGTTACCCAGTTGTCTTGGTTAAACTGAGGACACAAAAAGCATAGATTTTACAAGAGTAACTTCTAACATATATGTTTCTATCAAACCCCCAAAAATTGTAATTGTGACTTAAATTTTCATATGGTAAACAGAATTGGGCTTCTCGTTTGAGCTCAGGTTAGGTTTAGCAAGGGCATTTATGGGCTCCATAAGTGCAAGTTGAAACCAAGGTAAACAGCGGTATACAAAAGGTGCTTTCTATGCACAAACATCTGTTTACTTCAGGAAGGAGACCTGGCGATTTTAAACTAGGTTACGTTAAAAACACTTTAAACAAGCACACCTCCTCAAAGTGCCTTCAATTTACATCTAAAAACCCTGAGTACCAGAGTATCACTTCACACTAGGCGTTCTATCTGAGAACTCACACAGAAGTAAGAAAAGATTGAATCTTCACGATTGTACCGGGATGTTACAAACTACAAACAACATGCAATAGTAAGAGGAGAAAAAAAATGCCTTGGTTCAAACCAAGCTGAAAAGAACCGAAGGTTCATGGTGTAAACATCTTAAAAGGCTTTCTGTCTTTTAAATATATTTACTGTAAAGTTTTAGTTAAACTTCTAAAACCCTTAATGAAGTGAATGGTTATTAATTGTCCTAGTTAGTTCTCTAATGTTTTTAATATTAATATAAAAAAGATATACAACAGAAATATATTGAACAATTTTAAATGAAAAGACACTTTCAGGTAGATCATTTAATTTTAGGAAGCATCTTGTGAGTCCGATTAAACAATTAACAGAATTAGTTTTTTAAAAATGAAAAGAAAGCAGACTGACATCAGCCAAAAGGCAGAGTATGAAACGCCAAGTACTTGTCCTCCCACGGAAACACTGAAAGACAAGCAATTAATCAAGCAAATTTTGTCAAAATCTGGAAAAACAGTCAAAGACTTACAAAAGCCAAATGAATACAGAATCATTGAAAAGGCAACTCAAAAATTCTATGGCCTTTTTTCGCTCGCCCTTCTGCTGCCCTCTCCCTTGGTGGCAGCCCTCGAGCCGAGGGAGGCACACACCGCAGCAGCTTAGGATCTGGTTCCTGGTTCTGGACAGAGCAAGCTGCTGAGTGCACCTGCTTCAGCCTGTTAGGGGCAACCTGAAGGACCACATAAGGTGTTTTCTCTTTGTTCAGGCAACTTAGAAGAAAAGCCATAAGCATCTTTGCTACATACCAAAACACAAACCGAGAGCCCAGAGATGTGTGGGGCTAAAGAGCACAATGAAGCACAAACCAGACCAACCTAACGCCTAGAAGCGTCGCGACTAAGAATTTCTTTGAGAAATCAGGACATTTCAAAGGACACATGCATATGAGAAAACAGAGACAGCCATTTGCATGTCCAGAGCAATACGCATGATCAGAAAGAATCAGAGAAGACAGTGCAAAGGCAATGCAAGCCTGGATAACTGCTTACAGACTACGGCAAAGAGCCAAGCTACAAACACCGTCTTTGGGTTTTCCCGTGTTGGGTTTTCTCATTGTTGAGACTGTTGTTGCTTTTAATAGCTCCTGACATTCAAACATATCTTGTAATACAAGGTAAGAAACAAAGACCTCAGCCACTGCGATATGACTATGAATAAGTATTTTCAAAAACAGCTACTAAACAAATGGGCTTCTAAAATCTTGAACAATATAAAAACACAGGTTCGGTGCGGAGTGCAAGGGATTAAGCCAACACTTACCATGCCAGCATACCATACCACACTACCAGTTTGAGACCTGGCATCCCCTCGTTTCTTGCTAATGTGCC